TCTGAATAGCGTTTTGAAGTACATTTTAAAAACGATCATAAGGGACCCCCAAAACCCTATTCTAATTATGAAGGCCCCTCCAGTACCCTAAGGGTCCAAGTACCCATTATTTAAGGACTTTGGGGCCTTTTTTGGGTACCTCAAACCATAAACAAGGACTACTTGGACCCTTAGGGGAATCGTTCGAACCCCTAAACCCTAAACCCTAAACCCTAAACCCTAAACCGTGGGAACCTCCGTTGGAAGGAGAGGCTCGACTCTGCCAAGGGGGTCTTGACGACCTGGCGCAGGGCTGAGTCGGATGTGCGAAGTCCTCAGCCCTTATCCCTAAACCGTCAACGCTAACCCCAAAGCCGAAACCCTTATCCTGCCTAGAACCTAGAAAAGCTGAACCGTGGAGTTTTGAGTTGAGGGCTCCAGAGCTCAGCAGTTTGGTGTCTCCGTTGACGTGGGTTTTGACGCATGGTATACCTATCGTCTCACTTGTAGTTCTTTCTCACTTGTAGTTCTTTTTTGGTAGCCACATTCATATTAAGGATCCTATAAGGGAACCCCCAAAAGGAACTACAGTAGAGACTGTAGGTAGACTTGGGTGTGTTATGCATACAGGGGTTTCACGGAGTTGGATTGGCGGTTTAGGGGTCAAGTCCTCAAGGACTTTATGTCTTTCCTTCAGTCGACTCCATGTTTGGAGTAAGGATTCGGCCAATCTTATAGTTTGTGGTTTAGGGTTTAGGGCTTTAGGGTTTTAGGGTTTTAGGGTTTTAGGGTTTTAGGGTTTAGGGTTTGCGGTGCCGGTACACAAGATCACACCAGGGCTTGAAGCACATTGTTGCGATGACCCTCACCTGCGCCTGACGAACTATACCACCACAGCATGTTGCAGAATCAGCGCGTTGAAAGGATATTGGGATCTGTGCCCCAAGAACCTAAAAAGCACCTTGCTCTCTTTGCAGGTTGCGTTGTTGGTGCTACGACGGCATACATAGATCTATACAACAGATTGCCCCAACATCCGACTATGCTAACTCTTATGGCCCGGACGTGATGCTTGATTGTATTTTAGGGCGGGGGCTCTAGGACCCTAAACCCTAAACCCCTAAACCCTAACTTAATGAAAAGCCTTTAAGGAATCCTTCAGTTCCTTCAGTTCTCAGAGGTTCGGAGGCCACATCCGGCCCATGCTATCTGGTCGCCGGGCACTGAGCACCTCACAGGCTTCGAGCTTGAGATACGGCTCTGAACAGATGGTGCTTGGAGGTTCATGGGTAGTTGTAAGTAGGGTTATAAGTCCCGTGATATGGGTTATAACTATAGTTACCGTAATTATAACCCCACTTATAACTACCCATGAAGCTCCGAGTACTAAAAGCAATAAGCCTTCCCCATTGTAGTCGCATGTAGTCCCCATGTAAGTGTCACCAGCTGCTGCCTTAGGGTTGGAAACTCGTCGTCCTCGGGCAAAAACAGCACACTCAATAGAATACCGGTTTAGGGTTTAGGGTTTAGGGTTTGGGGTACAATTCTGTATGGTATCGGTTTCCAACTCTTAGCAATTCATGTTTACTAGATTCTGGCCACTTGTGACGATCACGGCCCCCCCATGTCAGACATGGTTGAGCTTACTGCTGGAGGTTTGTGGATGTTAGGGGGCCGCTACCCAAGTTAAGTAGACTCATCTTTGTAAGACCTATAAGCCCCCCGCCCCTCCGCCGCCCCTAAAACCCTGTCCTTAATGTCCTTTATACACTTGCCCCCTGCTCAGGATACAGGACCATGGAATAGACCAAACACCCGTAAACCCGTAAACCCTAAACACCTAAACCTCTAAACCCTAATAAACCCCAAAAACCCTAATAAACCCTAATAAACCCTAATAAACCCCTAAACCCCTAAACCCTAAACCCCTAAACCCCTAAACCCCTAAACCCCTAACCCCTAAACCCCTAAACCCTAACCCTAACCCTAAACCCCATAAACCCCTAAACCCGAAAAGGGACTCTGAACCGACGTTACGCTCAAAGCTGAGAGGTCGGGAGCTGATCGTCGATCTCATCGGGCCAGGCGTCCGAGAAACGCGCACGCGCGCGTGCGATGTGTGACCCTAAGGCTCCATGTACCCATATAGTAGATCCTTAGGCCTTAAAGTACCTATATAGGGACCCCTTTAAGGCCTAAGTATCTACTATAAAGGTACATGGAGCCTTTGGGTGAAAGGGGTCTCAGGGCCATGTCATGAATTTAGTTCAGGGTCTAGGTTTTATCATATAGGGTTTAGGGTAGATAAGGATGTATATGGAGGTTGTAATTAGTGTCTGTTAATATGCGGTTGGTTCTATGAAGTTTTTGGCTTAAGAAGTATCGCCGAACTTCACAAAAAGCTGTACTGAGGGCGTCAGCACTCCTAAACCCCCCAGGTACCTACTATATAGGGTACTAGAGCCCCTAGGGCCCTATATAGTAAATACCTGGGGGGTTAGGGACTGTTGGGCTCCATGGGTTCTTGTGGCCTTTTCAACTCAGGGCTCTGAGGATCTCAAGCGCTTTGGCTGAAACCCTAAACCCTAAACCCTAAACTCTAAACCCTAAACCCTAAACCCGAAACCCTAAACCCGAAACCCTAAACCCTAAACCCTACACCCAAACATTAGGGCTCTGGTTCTGTGGTGAGGGCTTTGGGGTTGCGGGAAGTATGGCACTACTCGGAGGTTCATGGGTAGTTATAAGTAGGGTTATAAATCCCCTAATATGGGTCATAACTATAGTTACCCTATACTTAGAGAACCCCGCTTATAACTACCCATGAACCTCCATGGAAATGTGATTTGGCGTAGCTGGAAACTCTCTTGCCAAAGCCAGCATCCCAGGCCACAGACGAAATTCCTAGCTGGCGTTCCAGCTCCTGCTTGCTCTCTCTCTCTCTCTTTCTCTCTCTCTCTCTCTCTCTCGCTCTCTGTTTGTATAATTATATATATATATATATAAAAGATCTTTGCGACGAATTGGTTTCGATTGTTACTGTTGCGGTAATTGCAATCATCTTTCTATTTATGCTAGATCGATAGATAGACAGATGGATAGATAGATAAGCAGTATAGAGCCCCTGGGCCCTTGAATGCTCAGAGCGCTTGAGGCTTGGGTCATTCGGCGAGCGCGTGGTTTTCATCAGGTTCGCCGCTCAGTAGGTGGGGGTTCCTCTGATGTTCCCTCGGGGGGTTTGGGGATCCGGGTTCCTTTAAGGGTTCTTTTAAGGATCCTTTAAGGGTTTCCTTTAAGGATCCTTTAAGGGTTCTTTTAAGGATCCTTTAAGGATTCTTGTAAGGATCCTGTAAGGGTTCTTGTACTGATCCTTTAAGGGTTCTTTGCAGGATCCTTTAAGGGTTCTTTGCAGGATCCTTTAAGGGTTCTTTTAAGGACCCTTTAAGGGTTCCTTTAAGGTTTCTGTAAGGGTTCTTTTAAGGATCCTGTAAGGGTTCCTTTAAGATTCCTGTAAGGGTTCTTTTAAGGATCCTGTAAGGGTTCCTTTAAGGTTCCTGTAAGGGTTCTTTTAAGGATCCTTTAAGGGTCCCGTTTAAAGATCTTTTAAGGGTTTTTGTCCAAGGGCTTCTGTGCATTGGCCTTAATGTAGTCTCTATATATGTACGTTAGGGCCCATGTATATGCTGTATGAGTACATGGACCCTTAGGGCTAAACCCTAAACCTTAAGCAACGGAACGGAGCCGTGGATCCCACCGGGCCCCCCTAAACCCTAAACCCTAAACCCTCAACCCTAAACCCTAAACCCGCACACCACCTACGGCTCTGAGTCAAAGCCTCCAAGCCCCGAAGACTACGTCCTGGACCTAAAGAACCCCCTAAGAAAGGGGCCTAAATACTTACCAATACTATTTTGGGGGTTCCTTAAGTATATTTATACCCTAAACCCCTTAAGAAAGGGGCCTAAATGCTTACCCATACTATTTTGGGGGTTCCTTAAGTATAAGTATACCCTAAACCCCTCAAGAAAGGGGCCTAAATACTTACCAATACTATTGTGGGACTTCCTTAAGTAGAAGTATATAGTATAATATACCACCAAAAACCCTGTTCTAATTATTGAGGCCGCTATATGTACCGTCGAACTCTACAACAATTGTAGAACCCTTAGGCACTCCTTGTAGAGGCCTTGTGGATTCCGTATAGAAACCCTATAGTATTGTAGCGAAATATCCTTGAAGAACCTTTATGGGCTTCTTATAGAACTCCAACACCAGACTTGTTAAAAATTCTTAATATAGGGACCTGAATAAGTAGATTAGGGTTTTGGGGTCCTTCATAGTGTCATTATAATAAGAACCCCTCCAAAATAATATAGGTAATTGTTGCAGCCCCTATGTTAGTGCAGGGCTGATGACTCAAGCATGGCCGACATGGGGTCTGCAGCTGCCGCGTTGAACAAGCCCGGGCGCCCAGCAGGAGTACTACTTGGAGGTTCATGGGTAGTATAAGTAGGGTCATAAATCCCCTAACATGGGTTATAAAAATAGTTACCCTGCTAATATCCCCACTTGTAACTACCCATGAACCTCCAAGTAGGTGCTCATGACCTTTTCAGGTTCTACACGGGTTCTATTCGTGTTCTAGGATGTAGAGTTTTTGGGTGTCAGGGTTTAGGGAGATTAGGGGTCATGATTTAGGGGTTAGGTCTGCTTGGTGTTGAAAATTGAACCTGTCAGTTCAAGAGTTCAAAAAAAGCAGCCTCTCTATTTTTGTATTAACCTTTTGTCTGAGGACTACTTCTTAATGCTGCTGAGTACTGCTGTTGCGCACCAGCCTCGCTACGCTGTGCCTACACCATCATGAGTGCAGCTGATGGCTGCTGCTGCTGCTGCTGCTGCTGCTGACGATGATGATGATGGTGATGATGATGATGATGACGGTGATGATGAAGTTGCTGATGAAGAAGCAATGATGATGTAGCTGAAGATGAGCCTGATGATGAAGATGATGACGATGATGATGATAGTGATGGTGGTGATCTGTGATGATGAAGGCTCCGTCTCATTCTAGCAGCAGCTGCTCACGGCCGCTGCATTACTGCAGCTCCTCTTCGTACCACTCCAGCTACTACGCTCAAAGACCACCGCTGTTCATAATCGAAAAACACATCCTACTTAGTGTGGTTGAACGCTACTCCTGCGACAGCATACAGATTCGAAATTATCTCACAACCGAAGGCTTCCCCCACATGGCTGTGGCAGCCGGAGATGGTGGAACCCAAACCTTCACAACACCCATGAAGATCGCTTCAAGAAGGGTACTTTCAGTTTCACAGCTTCGAGATCCATCGTGGAAGAGTTGAGGGCAGGCTTTAGGATGCCCCCCGGTTTCGACTGTTTCATCGTTCCGGAGTCAAGCTTGCAGCAACCGGAATCACTGAGCCACAATCGTATATAAGTGTCACGAACCTGCCACCGGTTTTTAAAGCCAGCATGTGCAGCCATCGCTTGTTGTCGCAAGGAGCTTGGTAGCAGCTGATCTCACTGATGGTAAGTACAAGTCTGTCCCTCAGGAAGAACCGCTGATCGGAGATTGATCACGATGTTATTTCTGATGGAAAGACACACACATTGTATGTTTTGTTTATACTATCTTGCATTCGTACACGTTCATATATTCGAGTACAATGAATATGTATATAGATATTGCAGATAGTTGGATACATAGATAGATCGATCGATAGATAGATAGACTGATTGCAGCTGCTGGTGGCCATGTCGGTGATCGTGGTGGTGTTGCTCCTACGCCTACCAGTAATAGTTCTAACACCCCAGAGTTGAAGCAACGGCTACTTGGAGGTTCATGGGCAGTTATAAGTCGGGTAACTATCGTTATAACCCATATTACGTGCCTTATAACTCTACTTATAACTACCCGTGAACCTCCAAGTATCATCTGTTCTGTAGCAACATAAATTCCCTGATTGCAGATAGGTGCCACCGTCGCCACAAAGCAGCTGAAGAAGCTTGAAACGAGACTGAGAGCTCAAACTCTGCATGCTATGGAATTCGAAGGCCTCTACAATGCCAATCCCTAAATCCCAAACTTGTTCTATCGAACCCGGAACACAACTACGTGGGTTTAGGATGGCTCCAGCATTAGGGGTGCAGGTGTAGACTACCACTTGCAGGTCTGCGAAAGACGTCATTTCAGGGCAAACCCTCTTACCCCCACGCACACTTCCCTCCGCCCGAAGGCCTCTTCCCGAAGTCCTCTATTCTAAGGCTCGATCAGCGCAGAGTTCTTGGGAAAGGGAAAGAAAACTGAGAGTGAGATCACAGCGCAAATGATGGCAGTGGCAGCTGTTGCACCACCAAGGAACAAGAGTGAAGTTCACAGGACGAAATTCAACAAGTCCTGCTTAACTCTACATAGCCACAGGCTGAAACCTGTATCCCGAAACCCTAAACCCTGAACCCTAAACCCTAAATCCTAAACCCTACAGCGGAAGTTGCATTACCGTAGCCGATGGTTCCGTTTACTTTGGGCATCAAGAGTGCCGTGACAAGGTTTAATGCCCATGCCACGATCCTCAAGCGGCCACATCGACCGCCAAAGAGTTCCGGCTGCAATTCAGACATCCTAGGAGCGATGCTCGGATCCGACCTAGAAAGCCACATTGCAGTTCTTTCTGGGGTTACCTTATAGGATCCTTAATGTATAAATGGTTAAACCAAAAAAGGAACTACAATGGAGACTACAGGTACCTTGATTTGCTGGAATCCCCATGAAACCCGGTAAGTCCCCCAAAGCCCTGAACGTTTAGTCGTTCTATCGAGAGTCCAAGCGAACGCCCGCCGCAAAGTGTCCCCTAAAAACCTTAAATTCCACCTTAACTCAGTGACTCCCAAACCCTAACCCCATGAAGCCTAAACCCTAGAAGCCCTGAGCCCGAAATCCTATTCCAGGCAGCCCAGCCCCTACATCCTAAACCGGAGCTTTCCCTAGCAAAGCTTGTGTAACCTAAGGCCCTAAATCTTAACTCCCAAGTCCTAAACCCTACGATCCCAAAACCCGAAAGCCCTGACTAAGCCTCAAAAATCTTCGGCCCTCAGGAAGTGGAGTGGCCTCCTCAGCATGACCTGCAGTTTTTCTTACGGCTTTAGGGTTTAGGAGTTCAGGGTTCAGAGTTTAGGGTTTAGGTTTAGGGTCTAGGGTTCAGGAGTTCAGAGTTTGGCGTTTAGGGTATTCTGTGCGAGTTCGTCTATAAGAGTCCCCTGAGGGTTCTACGATAAGCCTGAGCCACTCAAAAGGGATTGAGCAGCACGAGGGTTCCGAAGTGTCTGGGAGTGAGGAGGGCTTCGGTGGCATGGGGCTTTTTCGGATTGGCTCTCGAGGTTTCAGTCTTCACTGTACGAGGGCTGAATATGTACGTGACAATACTAGTAACGACATCCCTTTATCGCCCCAGTCTAAAACTACTATCAGGATGAGTTCAGCTACATATATATATATATATACACATTTATGTATTATATACAATATACGTATGTACATATATATATATATACATATATTTATACACGTATGTGTGTTTTTATATGTGTGTATGTATGTATGTATGTATGTATGTATGTATGTATGTATGTATGTATATATATATATATCGGAACACAATCCAACATGCGCACCTACACCCCCCAAAAAAAAACTTTCCATCATCTTCAAGCCCAAGGATTGGTCCTAAAAGGCTCGAGCTTTCAGCCCCGATGCTTCGGCTCAGGCAAAGAGTGGCACAGGCCGGCGGCCCAGTCCTGAAGGGATGCAGGTACCAAGTAGAGTAGATTCTTGAAATGTTTTGACTCGAAAGGTTTACATTTGTGTATATATATATATAGGTTTATAGATATGTATGTACACATGTCTATGTATGTATGTATGTATGTATGTATGTATGTATGTATGTATGTATGTATGCTTTATATATATATATATTTATTTATAAAGATGGATCTATCTGTCTATCAGTGTGTACAGATCTACTGCACCCCTACTTGGACCCTGTGCGAGTTGGCCCTTGTCGCTGGTGCCGCGAAATCACGCCGAATGATAGAACCGAGAGCCAGCCTCGTCTCAGAATTCCAGGACTTTCAGGGTTAGGGGGTTTAGGGTTTGGGGTTTTAGGACTTTCAGGATTAGGGGGTTTAGGGTTTTAGGACTTTCAGGAATTGCGGGTTTTAGGGTTTTTTTTTGGGCGGTTCAGGGCCTGTGGGGACTTTCAGGAGTCTGGATTTTATTGCTTTAAGAGATCAGGGCTTAGGGGTAGTTAGGTAAGTTACAGCTTTGAGCCTTACAGAAACTCCGAGATGATGGTTCGGGGTGTGAAAAGCCACATCGTGCAGTTGACAGACAAAAGCGGCACCGTTGCAACACGATTATGAAAATTGACTCGACAATAAGACGCGTGAGCTGTTGCCACTATATGCATGGCTATTGTTTATTCTGCTTACCGCTGTTCTTACTATTTTCGGGACTGTGATTTCTACCGCTTGGCTCTGGGTCCGGCAAGGAAGCTTCTGAAAATCCCTGAGCAGGTGGGGAATCTGCTCGTGACGTGTTGGCTTTCCGAAGCTGCTGCCCACAGCGAATAGGTCTTGAGTTGGGATTTCTACGATTTTAGGCTCCAGTTATAGGCCCCAGCGGCAGACATCACATACCGGGTACCTCTCCCTACGCCGCCCTATGTTCGGATATCAACCCTGAACCCTGACACCGACATTCCGAAGCCAAGAAGAACCAACCGCAAGCGCCAAACTCTACAGAAAGACCGTAGGACCCTAAAACATGAGCTTATGCTTGGAACCCTTATAATACCCTTATGGAGCCCAGATGGTGGAACCCTTATCATTGTAGAACCCTCATAGAGCCTTACAGAACTTGGTCAGCTAAAGTCAGAGTCTGAATAATGAGCAAATTCATCTCGTGGGGCTCCTCTTAGGGTGCCTTGTTATACTTAGGGTTTAGGGCTTACATGTAGTAAAACCCTAACCCTAACCCTAAACCCTAAACCCTAAACCCTAAACCCTAAACCCTAAACCCTAAACCCCAAACCCCAAAGCCCGGTTCAATTCATTCAGGTCCGTAGATTTTGACCCCAAATCTGTTGGAGCAGGCCTGGTCCTCGGCGTTGGACATGAACTTCGGCAGGCAGGGCGTCCTGGCGACTTAGGGTTCAGGGTTTAGGGTTTAGGATGTCGGGGCTTTGGGGTTCGGGCATCAGGGTCTTGGGCTTCGTGATTTAATTTAGGGTTGGGGCCTAGGGCATCAGCTCGTAGGATGTCCGATGACTGATTGCTTTGTCGTTTAGGTTATTCGGGTGAGGTTTCGGAAGCATTGAAGTCAAAATCGTGCGCAGGTTGGCCGTGGCTAGTCATCATCACGAGCTCGATCACATGGTTCGGATACTCCTTTCGGCAGCGGCATAGCAAGTATTGTTGATTACCTATCGGAGTTCACGTCTTGCACCTCAGCACTGTTTTCCACTGGCGGCTTCGGTAGCTCTGGCAAGTACGTGCCTGTAGTAGTTGCTGCTGCTGATACTACTACAGTACTACGATGTACTATTATCTCTACCTACTGATTACTACAACTACACTACCACAACGACAACTACTACTGCCACTGCTGCTGCTCCCATTGCCGGCTACTATACTAGCACTATCGCTGCGAGTGCAGCTAGTATTGTTATTAACCTTCTTATTGCATCCAATGTAAGCACGAGCACAACTACCACAGCCATGTTCCATTCATGGTCACACCATAATGGTGAGACTAGCCGGTGTCGTTCTGCGATAAGACTCGAAGTAACAGCCCACAGCAGCAGCATTGGTATCAGGAATGAGCCTGCGGTTGCCGGTCTATGTATATATTTCCCATGTCGCAATGTCAGAAAACTGCACGAAAGACTAGACCCTTCCTAGTTTGTAAAGTGTCTTATCCTTTGATTGTAGGTTTTAGTTCTAGTCTCCATGGTAGTTCCTTCTTTCGGTTTAACCAGTTTTATATCTAGGATCCTACAAGGTAACCCCAAAAAGGAACTGCAATGGAGACTGTAGGTAGTAACCCTAAACCCTAAACCCTTAACCCCGAACCCTAAACCCTAAGTTCACCTCCAGAGGCGCTTTGAGGGAAGGCTTCAGGGACGCTCTCAACGAGGGCAAGAGCTGAGGGTTGAGGGCTTCTCCGCCACAAAAACCCTTATAGAACCAATTGTAGCAGAAACCTTAAACCCTAAACCCAAAACCCTAAACCCTAATATAGAACCCTTATACCAGAAACCTATATATATATATATATATATATAGAGAACCTCTTATAGACTAGTCTATAGAACCCTTGCAGAACCCCAGGGGGCAAACACGAATGACACAGAGCCCCCTTCGCAGGTACGCAGTGGCCGAGGTGCAGCTCCTAGATATGAGGCTGGACCCATGGAGGTACAGGAATATACCCCTAAGGGTCCATGTGCTTATATAGTATGTACATTGGCCTTAATGTAGTCCCTGTATATGTACTTTAGGGCCCATGTATATGCTATATGAGTACATGGACCCTTAGGGACCGCAAATGGTAGTAGGATCTCGAAAGATGATTTGAGGTATATTCCCTAAGAAAATGGATGTAGGGAGATGTGGGTGGATTAGTGCTGAATCGAGTCTGCTCAGGCTGTTGGGGCTCAAGTATTCCATGCCTGGTGCAGTGGGGATGCGGCGTAGGCTTTAGCAATCTAGGTTGGCAGCTTGAGGCATCATTTTCTATGCCTTGAGCCCTAAACCCTGAATCTCCAAACCCTGAAACCCTAAACCCTGAACAAGTCAGGCCCCAAGATTAGGCCCGGAAAGGGTTGGGGGCTTCGTGGGGCTTGGACTTAGGGTGCATGGTATAGTTTCTGGTGCGTAGGGTAGGCTTCTGAGCCCTATAGGCTCGTATGATGACCAGCAATGACCAGTAATCCTAACAGCCAGCCACCACAACCTTTAGAAGTTTTATCGCAGAAGCATCAAATCTCAACGAAACTACCATACAAGCCCTATTTGCAAACATACTGTAAGACCCTATAACCCTAAACCCTAAACCCTAAACCCTAAACCCTGAACCCTAAACCCTAAACCCTAAACCCTTATGAAATCCTATACACGCCTACACATGAGCTATAAAGTCTGTTACCGGCTCTGGGGCCTGCTAAAAGGAAGCCCAAAGACGGCTACTTCGCCGGGAGACCCGGGATAACAGCTCAGCATTTAGGGTTTAGGGTTTAGGGCTTAGCATGTAGGGTTTGGGGCTCGGCGTTCTAACATTTTTGGATCAGGGTCTAGCAGTTTTGATTTGGATTTCGTGTGGTTTGTGTAAGACGACCGAAGGGCCGGTCGCCGTAGGCAGGGTTTGTGTTGGGGTTCATGGTCTATACCTACAGTCTCTATTGTAGTTGCGTTGCCTTTGTTGGGTTCCCCTTTAGGATCCTATATACAAGTTTGGTTAAACCAACAGAAGGAACTACAATGGAGACTACATGTAGGCTTTGAGCTTTGGGTTTCAAGGTGTGTCCGATATGGGGCTTGCAGTTGTGGGCTCAGGAGTAGCAGTAGTCACGTGGTGGCAGAAAAAACTTAGTAGTATGCGGGGAAGAAGCAGCAGCAGCAACACCAGCAGCAGCTGTCGAAGCAGTAGTAAGAGCAACAACTGCAAAGGGACTGTGGATGGCTTTAGACATGGCCGGGCCAGCTGTGATCATGGGGGCTGGTAAAGATATCTGTAGAGCACCAGAAACACAGAAACACAAATCTCAGCCTTCAGCAAGAGAATGTCCAGGGCAACACAACATCAAACCCAATGGACGCGACAGAACCACGACTCGGCGTAGAGCTATGAACAAACTGCAGTAGATTCTTGTTGCCCAGAGGCCCAGAGGGTCCATATACACTACCATTATGGAATTAGGTCCCAAAAAACAATCCCTATTATGGTTTTGGGGACCTAATTCCATAATGGTAGTATATAAGGACCCTCTGGGTTTCCATGATAACAGTCTCAGCCGGGGCAGGCACAGTCTTGACAAGGTCGATATAGCGCCGGAACTTCATGACAAGATGCGAGTCGGGATGTGACGAGCGTTAAGAAGTGTGACAATCGCTCCAAGTGACGGCCCTAAGAACCAAGCTTGCAGCGATACTGGCATGAAGAAAACCGCCTCAACATAGAATCCACCAAACCCACGACCCTCAACCCCAGACCGAACCCCAAACCCTGAACCCTAAACCCTAAATCCCTAAACCCCAAGCCCTAAAGCCAAGCCCTAAACCCTAAACCCTCTAAACCGCGAACGGATGGACTGAGGCTGTGGACTGGGAGCAAAGCTTCCGGGACGAGTAGACGGAAGGAGCTGAGCTGGCGCTAATGTAGTGGCCTGAGTAATACAGGGGCCTTAGTAGCTTAGTTCCCCAATACCCAACCTTTAGACTTTTTGGGTTCTTATAATTCAGTAGGAATCTGAAAGTTTAACCTTTTATTTCCCTGGCTTATAAAGTAAGATAAGGGGGTTCCTTCTTATAATTATAGTATAATGGGCCCCAAAACCCCATTCTAATTATTAAGGCCCCTATATGAAGTAAAATAAGCTTCCTTTTAAGGCTTGCTATAGGGGTTTGTTCTCTCGTATGGGGGCCAGAATAACTAGGGTAGTTTTTCGGGTACATTACACTACAGTCATAGCCAGGAACCTTGAGGAATAGTATGTATACGAACCATGTTAGCTTCAATGTGCTTAGGGTTTAGGGTTTGGGGTTGGGGTTTAGGGTTCAGGGTTTAGGGTTTGGGGTTTAGGGTTTAGGGTATTGGTTCAAGGTGGTGGCCACCGCCGCAGTTGTTAACAAGAAGCAAGCAACAACACCATTCGCAGTCTGTCAATACCTAGCATTCGGCTTCATCATGTGTGGGTTTATCAATAATGTAGGGGCCTCAATAATTACTAATACTATTTTGGGGATTTTTGGAGTTCCTTCCTATAACTATAGTACAATGGGCCCCAGAACCCTATTGAAATTATTAAGGCCCCTAAACCCTAAACCCTAATGTAGAGAACCTATATTGCTTATAGTACCCTTCTAGAAACCGTACAGAAACCCTATTCTAATTATTAAGGCCTCTATTTTACCCACTCCGCTGATGTTCGAAAGCACTGGCTGGCGAGGCCCGAATGACACGGTACGACGAACAGATCCAGAAGCGCTTCTGGGAAAAAAGACCGGAGCAGTACTTCTGTTCACGGTTTAGGGTTTATAGGGTTTAGGGTTTAGGGTTTATAGGGTTTAGGGTTTATAGGGTTTAGGGTTTGGGGTTTCTGGGAAAAAGACGGAGCGATGCTTCTGTTCACAGTCTAGGGTGTAGGGTTTAGGGTTTCTGGGAAAAAGATGGAGCAATGCTTCTGTTCTGGCTCCGGTGTTGGACTTACGATCTACGTGTTTAGGCATAGATATCCGTGCTTCAGGCTTGGGGTGATCATAAAAAGGAAGTTGTCAGTCTGTCCCTGGGCAGAGATTAAATCCCGCAAGGGTCGTATCACTCAAACTAACCCTAAACGCCACCTCCGAAACCCACCACCCTCCACTTTAGCAGCACTGTAACCCTGAAGTCGATTAGCTGTACATCTAAGCTTTAACCCTATACATATATATATATATATATACCATAAGTTTTAACATACAGCCCCAAACCCTCGGCCACAACAGCTGCTCCACGCATGAAACATTCTGTCAACTCTACATGGCGGAATCATTGATGCAGAAGTCTGACAATGGTTATGGCTGGACACAGATGACTCGCTCGAAGTCCATGTCTAAGCATGCTATATCCGATATACCCTGCAGACACGATTCTGCTTACAAAGGCTTCTATGTTGGGTTGATGATTGAAGCAGGATTCCTCATAATGGAGCATTGGGTTCTATGAGCTCCCGATAGTTCAAGTTCTGGCAGGCGCAGTTGGTTCAAACCCGAGAGGAGGCAGAGGCGCGCCCGAATCCTTCTGCATTGTGCTGCTCCTTTGAGTCGTCGAGAGACACTTTATTCGTCTCCTCTCTGCAGGCCCGGGCACGACGCAGACATTTCAACAGCGAAAACCTTGCAAGCCTACTTCCCGGAAGACGTTCTGTGGTCATCGTCCGTTTGGCGGGAAGGCTGTAAGTGGAGTGTCGATGCTATAGCTGCTAATATCAGTTTGCATTTTTTCGTACTTAGCTAGCGCCAGTTCTATTGGTTCTTCTGAGAGTTGTAGCCGTTTCTGCCTTTATGACATCGCTGCTCTTTTTGTTCCCTAATTTGGAGAACTACCCGTATCCTGTCAACACGTCGCCAGGCCGTTTTGCCCGAGCTTCTCTCTCAGCGTGTGGTGGGCTGCGCCCTCAGTCTGTGCTGTCGAACCGATGTCCTAAAGACAGCAAAGGGACTCGCAGCTCCCAAAAGCATAAACCCTGAACCCTATCCCTAAGGGTCCAAGTAGTCCTTATTTATGGTTCTAGGTACCCAAAAAGGCCCCGAAGTCCTTAAACAATGGGTACTTGGACCCTTAGGGTATGCCCTAACCGCCTATTACTCTAGGGAGGGTCTTTGCAACCTTTCGTGGGTCAGAGCCTGATGCTTCTTGACAGAATTTGTTGGGGCTTAGTTTAGGGTTTACCGTGTAGGTCCGTAGGATTCTAGGCAGTTCTAGGGCTTACATGTTTAGAGCCTAGTGGGTACGTTCTTGGAAGCGATTGAGCAGTTGATAGAAGGGCTAGCCACCAGCATCTCCACGAAAACTCAGCAGCTAGTACTGCGACAGGCTTAATGGGTTATGGGTTTAGGGTTTAGGGCTTAACGAGTTAAGGGTTTAAAGTCTACGGTTTGAAGTTTAGGGGTTTGGGCTGCAGGGCTCAGGGTGGCGGCGCTTTGAATTCGTCGGGTTTCGGGCAGGGTTCCAGCTGTCGAACAACAGAAGTCTGACAAGGCTGGGAACAGCGTCTATCTACATGCTGGTGCCCGCTTTCGGGATTTCAATGCGAGTTATGGTCAAAATTATCGTTTATGTAGTTTAGTGTAGAGTGTAGTTGTTCAGTGAAGCTGCAATCCCCAAGCCACACCATCATTGCATAAACACGCCTTGCTTGTAATGTGGAAAGTGCCTGACCATGGAGCAGAACAGTTCATGTCTCTATACATGCCACGGGCATGGGCACCTGTGGTGTGTCCGGAAATTTCGGACGGCTGTCATGTCGCGCACATTGAAGGGCCATAACCAAACCCTACACCCTAAACCCTAAACCCTAAACCCTAAACCCTAAACCCTAAGGCTTATGCTGTAGCTTTCGTATCGCCCTGATCTTTCAGGTTCGATGGAGTCCACTCAGTCCGACACCGAAAGTCTAGAGACTCCTATGGGTTTAGGGTTTAGGGTTTAGGGTTCAGACCTATTGCAAACTCGACGGCGCAAGAGCTTAAGATACAAAGGGTCGTAACGTGTAGGCTTTAGGTCAGAGGCCTCCCTAGGCGTCCTGCTTCGACGTGCATGCTGCTACTTGGAGGTTCATGGGTAGTGGTAAGTAGAGTTGTAAATCCCCTAATATGGGTTATAACTATAGTTACCCTACTTATAATCCCACTTGTAACTACCCATGAACCTCCAAGTAAGTTTATGCATTCCACCTCGCGGTCCAAGAGAGGGTTGAGGCAGAACGCAGGTATGCAAAACGAGGCAGCACGCAGCTTCTGCGTGAATGCTTTGAGGGTTTTGTGCTTTAGGTGAAGTTTCCCTAACCCCCCAGGTACCTACTATATAGGGTACTAGAGCCCCCAGGGCCCTATGTAGTAGGTACCTGGGGGGTTAGGGTTTGCCTTCATCTATGTAAAAGGTTTTGCATGCCACCTTAACTTTTGGCATTTAGCTAAGTTAGCAAGTTAGCACGCAGAAGCTTTAATCGCACCCCGTGCGAGGCAGCACGTTTAGGGTTTCCCCCGGATGAGGGGTTCAGGACGCTACACTTTAAACCCTAAACCCTATGAACCCTA